CCCTTTCCTCTGTTATTAAGGGACCAGTTGGTTTTAGTTTTTCTGCATTTTGAGTTTTCTAATGTCATAAACCCTTCTTAACAGAGGCAACATTGTAAATATCAGCTACCTCTTTGGCAGCTAAATTATCGAATTATTACGGAAAACACAGTGGTGCTTTAAATCAGCAGCTTTAAAGATCTGAAATTGAATGCTGTTCCTTATTTCTTAATCACTACAAATAGGTTTTCACTAGCTTCCACTTGTGATGTGTCACAGAGCTCTGCATACAGTGAGCTTATGCAAAACTTGGTGGGGTTGTATTTATTAAATTCCTGAATGGTAAAACAATTCTAGCAGTTTTACTGGCTCCAGGAATCTGCCCATTCCTGCAAAAGGTGACCTTTGTGATTCATCCTTACATTCGACTGCCGTAAGAAGCAGAAGAGAAGGAGGGGGAAGTGGTGTTTTTTTAATAAATTGCTGCTGGATCTAAGTCTAATGTAGTGTATAACAGCACAGAAATAATCTTGTCTTCACTTGGGGCTGATGGCACCTTCAGGTCAGTTTGTGTGTTTGTCACTAGAAAAAGTGTCCAGGGAAATGACCATGGCAGGAAAAGTGAGAAGAGCCAGTGCTAGCACATGAGCTGTTTAATTTGCTACAAGACCTTATGAAGGTTGAGAATTTTGCGGGATTAAAACTTAAATGTGTAATCAAGCAAAGTGTTAAATGCATAACTGAGAGAGATGGCAACAAGAGCTTTTGCTGTAAAACAAACTTTGTCTGCAAGTTAGCAGATATATTGAAGTTGTCTGTCCCCAGGTGGGTTATCCTACAGTTGCTGCTTTGCTTTCTTTTCCCCCTTTAAAGAGGGAATACTTTGTGCAGACTTGCAGAATATGAGGGATGCTGTCTACCCAGTTTAGCCCATAATTGGCTTTGTAAGCTGCTTGATGAAAATTGATAATAAGGAAAAAGGCAGCAAAGATGACGTGTCCTTTTACAGAGAAGAGAGAAAAACCGGCTTGGCTGAGCTGGGGAAAAAGCAGGAAGATCTATTAGTCACAGAGGAAGGCTTGACCCTTAGCCACCACAATCCATTGGGTTCCAGTTGCTGTATGTAAAGAATACAGATTCCATGGAATCACAGGAAGGGGTTACTGGGTTTGTTCTGAAGGCTCTCTGAAATCTGTTGTATGAGGGGAATGCCAGTATTCCCTGTATCTATTGCAGTCATACAGACCTTTAGTTTGCTTTCTGAAGTCCCCCAAAGGACAGTTTGAGAACCCCCTTTTCCTCTTGTGCACAGATCTTGAGTTTGTTTTCTGCTAAGTGAACTTGAGAAATAAGCCTAGCACAGAGGTGAAATTGGTCTGGTGTAAATGAATCCTATTTAAAATCCCACATTTCACTATAAAAGCATTAGGTTAAGCTTGTGTAATTCTGTTCAGCCCTGTCCCAGTGGAGGCAGACTGGGATAGCCTTTGATTTGCTGAGGTGTATGACTAGAATTGAGAATTTGTGAAATTGGATGATAAATTCTACAAAAGAGGTGGTTCAAACAAGATATGTATACATTAAGAGGTTGATAGTTTGACCTTAATTTTATGTAATGTCTGCTATAAAAACATTAAAACTTTGGAGACCCTTTTGAACACCTAAAAATAGTTGGCACCATAATAGTAATGTTGAGGAATCAGATGGTATTAAAGGTTTAATGGAAGGTCTAAAGGATGATACAAAGGCCTAACAATTTTCAGGAGTCTCAGGGCACTAGCAGCAAAGTAAGAGCCCACTTCACTTCTGCTTCTTCCCCTAGATAGTTGTGTCTTCAGTGAGTCTGCTGTAGTCAACCAAACTAATTTTTCTTTTGTAAGAGTGAGCTTTTTTTTTAACTGAAAAAGAAGGAAAAGAGTTGTCTTCCAGTTTGTACGAGACTCCTGTGGGTGTGTCAAGCACTAATATCTGTACCAGCCTGAAGTGCTGGGAGCTTCTGTGGTGGAAGTAAACAGTGAGGCAGTTCTGCTGAGGTGATCATGACAGCTTAAGGAAACAAAACCATGGATTGGTTTGGTTTATTTCTTCACTGTTTTGATTACGTGGTCATTCCTCACTGTGTACCACAGATGCCTATTTAATCAACTTCATTTTAAAATCTCAAAGATAGCAAAAAAGGGAGTTGTTAGTGACACTATCAATGTATCTGTGGAGTACTACTGTAAAACAAAGCACCACACAGAAAAATCAATTTACTCAATAGTAGTAGAGCATTGTTCCCTTGGGTTAAAGCAGCCTGACTGGCAGTCACTTTCTGCTGCCACACGTTCCCCCTAGCATGTGTCAGAGGCTTACACTGATCCTCTACGCTCTGCAGCCAGCCAGTGCTAAGCTGATTTTGCTGGATCCTCTGGTATTTCATTCCTTCAGTCCTTCGCTGTCTTCCATCCTAACCACAGGAAACAGTTCGCAGAGTTTAGCAGCAGCCAAAAGCCTACTGAAATGAATGGTGATTTGAATGAATGAATGGTATTACATTCGGCATCCGCTTTCCTGAGCAGAATGTGGCTTTATGGGCAACTAAATCAAAGGTTTGGTGCAGAGGTAATCTGGATTGCATGCATTCTCTTTGCTGCTGCTCTGCTGAAGTCTAGGGAATTTACATTTCACTGGATCCTAGGGGAAGAGGGGGCAAGGTGGTGGAAATTAGTGTTCCTGAGTCCAGCAATGTCATGTTGCCAGTTTATGCTAAGTGGGTGTCTTACCCTTAAATAAATGATATCTTCAGTCCTTGCACCCTGCATTTCCTTCTTGGTAGCATTGTTAATGATTGCTATGGACAAGTGGATGTTCAAAGATGGCCACTTTCTATTTGGGGTTAGGAGTCTCAGCCAAAAGGTTTTCTGAATTCTGCATCTGATAGGCTTTATCTCTGTCTGGGATAACTGGGAAAAAAACCCGAAACAAACCCAACCCAAAACCTCCCCGAAAACCAGGATTTGTATTTATCCTCAATAGGTCTAGGAGTTGTGGTTCAAACAGACATGCGAGAGAGAGTCACAATCTTGTCCTTGGGACCACCATTCTCACTAGACTCTCATAGTTACGTGTTTCTGGCTATCCTACTTGGGATTAGGTAGGAAGCTCCATTTCTATGATTGACTGATCCTTCCACTGGAGTTGCTTCCGGCACGCAAGCAACAGTTTCACTCCATGCTGGAGTAGTTTAAACTACTAGTGATCTCTTCATAGCTTCCTATGCATGTGAGTTGTCCCTGAGACAGGGACAGGTTAGAATTGCCTCCTGAGTAATTCCAGAACAAGCTTGGAAAAGTCTCAGTTCTCTCAGATTACTTTTTATGATGTAAGTGGGCACTGTGAATTAAACTGCCCTCTCTTCCTTGCCTCCTTTCTATTTTCCCTTTGATCAACCAGTCCTTTCTTTAGAAATAGAAACTCCGCATCCTACATCCCATTACATCGGTTAGGGAGGTACCCCTTCAACATCATGGCAAGTGCCCCACACCATCTTTGCAATGGAAAACCATGGGAAGGTGACAAGTCTAGCTGGAAAATGCTGCAGGTGTTCTCCAACAGTTTCAAAGGCAGCATGCTGACCTGAGGATCTGCAGCTCAGGTCCTGCAGAATGAGGAAATGCTAGGACCTCCCTATTGTCATGCAAAGACTTGAAACCTGGGAATTCCTGTACAGACTTACTCCTGCTGGGTGATGATTGGCATTTGGAATCTGTCTGTTCTGAGCCCCCAGTCAGCATCTGACTCTCTGCCTCCTCTCTTCACAGGTTTTTCCTCAATTGACAAACCAGGAGGAACACACAGACCCCTCCAATAAGATTCCTCAGCAAGGCAGGCAGAGATTTCAGCACATCAGCAGCCTAAATCTTCCTTAGGCAACTGTGAGTCCACGTGGTGAGACTATCTCTGTGAAGGAAAGCTTTTAGTCTTGCTTACTTTCTGTAGGATGTGGCCATTAATGAGAAATAGTAGCTGTATCCAAATGAAAGTGCAACTGGCAAGGTTACAAATCCTTAGGACACGGCATTTGAAGTAAATACAAATTGAAAACAAATGTTTTCAACTACA